TATGCACTTTCCCCATATTTTTTGTCTAGCCTTCCCATTCCACTCTGTGTGTGTTACCGTAAGTTGGAGCATGAGTGACTTGCAGCAAGGTCAAAGGGAAGGCTGGAAGGGGATACGGGTGCACTCACAGACGACTGATGGCCTGTTGCACAGTGTACAAGTGCCCACAGATGGTAAGATAAGGAAAAATAAGACTCTGAGTGTCCTCCACAAACGGGTGCTAAGCACCCAGCAGACTAGATCAAGCCCTTGGCAATTAAGTGCAGCTTCAGAAAATCATTTTCTAATATCTGTCATTGCTGTACTTTATCTCTCTGAGAAGTCCTTATACCCTATCTCTGACTCTAGGCTGTAGCTCTTGTTTTTCCATTTGCACTTAAACTGTTTTCGCTTCCATTTTGGACTTCACTTTACCACCACCTGCTGCACCCAGGCACCAAAACTAGCACACAAAAACAAAAGCAATTCAAACACGGAAAGCAGCAAGAACAGCCCTTCCGGGATGGGATAAGAACGCTTTTATTAAATTTAACAAACTCCAGCTCAGAAGAGGCCTGCAACTGTTCTTTTAGCTACATGGTTCACACAAGGGAGCAGTGGCGCAGGCAGTAAGAACGCCTGCTATAACATCAACAAACAGCCACTATGGCTGTTCGAGACCCACCGCGGCCGGGGTGAGCTCCCGGCCCTAGTCCCAGCTCCCACCCACCCAGCGGTTCGAAAGTATTAACATCCAGCAAGTAGATAAATGGGTACCTGCCCTAGGTGGCAGGGGGCACCCTTCTCCGGTGGGGTGTGCAGCGGAGGCATCGGCGGTGGCGGCAACGGAGTGGCGACGGCGGAGCAGAACGGAGTGGCTGAGGAGTGCCCTGTGAGCGCAGCGTTGAGTGGCAGAATCCGGCAGAGGCGGAGGCGCGGTGGCGTGTCGGCGCAGCGCGACGGAGCCGAAGGGACGATGTTTGGAGCTGTGGCGGTCGCGTGCACCATGCACCGTATGAGCCAGCCGGAGGAAGCCACTGAACTGGAAGAGATCTGCCCCAGGACACTGGAGGTGGAACGCCGACATCCGAGGCCGCCGGAAGGAGCTAGACAACAAGCCCTGCTGCCGGGTGCAGGTAGGAATTCACCCCCTCTATAATTGTGGCCCTAGTTAGGAACCAAATTGTGTGTAAACCGCTCAGAGACCCTTCGGGGTTCGAGTAGTATATGAATTGAAGGATAAAATAAAAATAAATACATTGACAATAATGGTGTTATTCGTGCCTCTGACTGAATCATCAGTTACGAACAAACCATAACAGTAAACCAAATATTCCCGTTTTCAGATCAGATCCAAGTGTGTGCATAGCGCAGTGAAATGGCTTCCTAAATGTGCTGTGCCAGAAAGCTCCTCACTAACAAAAACATACCGCCCCACTACAGCTAAAATGCATAGGCATGTTGAAATTCAGAAGCAATCCAAAGGCAGTGAAGCTGCAAAAACAATGGGGGTGCCAAGTAGCACAAAATTCATTTATTGCTACATTACAGTCTTTGTCTTCTCCTAACATGTGAACTCTGAACAAGCGGACTCAGCTACTCACAATGGTATTTAAGCTACAACTTAATATTGAGATCCAGGGTGGTGACACTTGTGTCCAAAGTGGTTGGGTGATTATGCAGCATCTGCCAGGACATTTAAATGATCAAACAGTCATTAATATTCTGGAGTTTCTGCTTTTTGGCTACATGATGCAGAATGCAACTGACTGAAACTTTATGGTACCAATTGCACGAAAACTGCTCCCAAGGTACAGGATTCCCAGTACATAAAGACTGCCAAGCTACACATCTGAACAACTGTGCTGTACCTCAAAATTTCCTGATGGAGGAAGAAGAAGAAGAGACTGGATATGTACCCTGAAGGAGTCTCAGAGTGGCTTACAATCTCCTTTCCCTTCCCTTCCCCATGACAGACACCCTGTGAGGTAGGTGGGGCTGAGAGAGCTCTTTCGAGAACTGCTCTTTCCAGAACAGCTCTGAGAGAACTGCGACTGACCCAAGGTCACGCCAGCAGCTACATGTGGAGGAGTGGGGAATCAAACCTGGTTCTCTCAGATTAGAGTTCACACTCCTAACCACTACACCAAACTGAAGAGGCAAAGCTCCTAGAACTTCTCCAGCCTGCTTGTCCATCCCATAATCAATCCCCTCCCTTGCCTACTTTATTTATGTATTAGAAGGAGGTCAGGGTGGTTTATCTCAGCCTCTCCTCTTCCGAACAAACAGATCCCAGGAGCACCTACTCAACGCATAAATGTGTGGATAGACAGACAGTAGGACTGGGGAAGAAGCCTTCACAGCCTTTCACTGAGGTATTTAAATGAACAACCTAGCAAACTTTGCACTAAGAACTGAGCCACACTCACTATGTATGTAGCAGATACAAGAGAGAAAAGTGGGTTTTGAAGCAGTCTGAAAGATGTGCACTATGGTGATAAGATTTTGTTTTGTATACATGACAGGGAAGGCTTCAACTGGGCAGGATTTCAGGCAACATGTGCAAGTTTTTAAACACAGTCATCCGCTCTTATAATGTGTGTCAGCAGAGCAGAATGTCTAGGACAGTGGCCTTCAACCGACGGGTCAGGGCCCGCAGGTCGGTCACCAAGCCTCATCTGCTGGGCTGCAAGTAATGTTCCCTCTAAGCTGAGTTATTGTGAGCTAGCTCGCAGTTCTTTAGCATCCGGCTCACACATTTCTGTCTTAGCTCAGGAAGGATGGCTCCAGAGCAAACTAATTTATGCAGCAGCCAAATCGCTCGCTCACAGGCTTAATGCTAGTAGCTCACAAAGTAGAATTTTTGCTCACAAGACCACAGCTTAGAGGGAACATTGGTTGCAAGTCCTATAAAACGGACATTTTATTTATTTTTTGTTGATTTTTGGAAGGACCTGCTGCTAGAGTGCATGCCTAGAGAACAAGGCTGGCCACCATCTCTCTTGCACATCTCTTTCTGGGCAAGGGAAGAGCAACAGAGAGGTGAGGCGAGGTCATTCAGTGAGGGAGAGGATTCCTCTGTGGCCCCAAGCCTTGGCTTGCTCCTCACTGAAGTACAATACCTGATGCCTGGCTTGTGTTTCCTGTCCCCAGCATTCCTTTCCTGCTGTACTTACACTGGAGAGGTCATAACTCTAGCTCCCACTCTTCCTGTTGTACTGTTTTGATGTCATATGCTTGTAGCTCAGTGGGACTGATGCTGCCACCTAGGTGTTAAAGATAGGTCCCAGGTCTGGAAATATTGAAGATCACTGGTCTAGGAGACAGAGGTCGAATCTGTATTTGCATTTTTAAATTAGTGTCATGCTGCTGTGACCCTGTCTTTCTCTATGCTTGTTTGAATGTTGTTTGGAGAAGATTCTTTTAAAGCAGTGCACAGGTGCAATGACAGTGGAGCCGTCCTGGATGTGCAAAAGTATGCTACCACTCTTGAGGTGTGAAAACGACACCAAATGTAGACAGCTTTTTTGAAGATGGAGTCAAAAGGCTGGGACGCCGTGGGAAAGGCAGATTCAGCCTGAGTTGGGTACTAGAGAGTTGCTGATATTAACCCTTTAGCTTCAAACTCACCAGATGGCCATTTCTTCTTAGGTAAAGGTAAAGGTTCCCTTGCTCGAAAGCCAGTCGAATCCGACTCTAGGGTTGCGGTGCTCATCTCCGTTTCAAAGCCGAAGAGCCAGCACTGTCCGAAGACGTTTCCGTGGTCATGTGGCCAGCATGACTAAACACCGAGGCGCACGGAACGCTGTTACCTTCCCACCGAAGTGGTACCTATTTATCTACTTGCAATTTCTTGCTTTCGAACTGCTAGGTTGGCAGGAGCTGGAACTAGAGACAGGAGCTCACCCTGTCTTGCGGCACCCGGGTCTTCAACTGCTGAACTACTGACCTTCCACAGCCTGCAGTTCAGCGTCTTAACCACTTGAGCCACCGCAGCATTTCTTCTTAGCGCTTGCTATATTTATCCTGTCATTCACAATTCTGACCCACCCTGTCGTGCTGTTGTAAGGATTAGTTTGGTAATATATGTAATATCTGTTTTGAATAGCTTAGAACAAATGAAGAAGAAATGTCATTATTATGTATGACATGATCCAATCTTGTGTTCTTCCCTGAAAGTAAGTCTCACCCCAAAACAGGATAACTTCTAAATAAACATGCATAAGATTGAGCTACCAACCCCCCCCAAAAAAAAATTAGAAGGAAAAGTTGAGAGAGAAAAAAGATCTTATTTATTTATTTATTGTCTTTACTGTTTTTGCAACCAGAGTCATAAACAGCAAACCCTCATCCCACAATAAACCTTGTTCCACAGGAAAACATGGAAGGATTTAAAGGTTGCTACTGCAAAAGTTGTCATGTGATTTGAAAAAAAAAATCAATTCCATTAGCTTTTTCCCCTTAAGAAACTTTCAGACTGGAGCTAAACTCCTTGCTTGTAGGTTTCAAATTACGGACTTAGTCTCAAAGGAATTTGGAAACACCCACCCTTCAAGTTCTCCTTTTCCAGCATACCTACCAGGGCAGCAAAAATGTACTAAGAGGCAAGAATTAGCATTCTTTGTTTTTGGGTCAGACAGAAGACCCAACATCAAGGATTTTAATTTCACCCTTTCCCACAGGTTCAAGGCAAGTTAGAGCTCTATTATCATTAAAGAAATAAAAACCTTATCCCCTAATTTGGGAGCATCTTTTTAAAAGGAAAAACACCACCACCAAAAACCCTATGCTAAATGCGTACAGACCATGACACTTAAACCACCACTACCACAACAACAACAACAGCCCGCCCGCACCATCGGGTTTAGCCACTGCACTCCGCAAGCTATCCTTATTACGGTTTCTCCAGAAGGCTGCGATCCCCTCCACACTTCGATGCACGTGTCAACTGCGTTGCACCCTCCTCCTTCCGAGCAAGCGCGGCCAGGGCTTTCTGCAAGGCGATCCCGAAACTTCCCTACCTGAATCCGTAGGAGGTGAACTTCTCGCTCTCCCTTAGCAGGGCCCGGTAGAGCCCCAACACCTGAGCCCGTGTGGACGCCGCTGCCATATTGCCGACGCGCGCTCGGACCTTCCCGGCAAGTCGCCCCCTTCCTTTGCTTTGCAGCCCGATGCCGGAAGCGGCGGGGGAGGCCGCGGAGCTCTGAGGCGGCCCGCGAGGTTTCGCTCCGGCGCCGGGAAGCCGCGAGAGGCGTTGTTTGGAGGCTCGGCCTGGTCTGGGTTTCCCGTCCGAGCGCGTCAGGCGGGCAACTTGGACGCCCGGCCGGCTGAGGAGCGGAGAGGGGGGGAAGGTGAGCCGTCGTCGTCGGCGGGAGCAGCAGCAGCAGCAACGGCGGAGCTCGGGGGCGGTGTGGGCTGAGGCGGGAGGACGCCGCCAGTAGGCCCTGCCGGGGGAGGGGAAGGAGGGGGCTCCCTCCGCCTCGAGTAGGCCGCACCCTGCCCCGCGCTTTCTTTTTGCGGGCCCGAATCCTTCAGGAGCCTGCAGGCTGCAAAGCGGTTTGGAGAAAGGCGGTACAATAACAACGCAGCGCGTGCGCTTTCTTCCGTGGCCGCTAGGGTGTCCCCCCCCCCCGCGTCTCGTGTGATCTGGGGGAAGCAAAGCGGGGCCGGCCCCGGTCAGTCTTTGGGCGTCAGGCCTCCAAGAAATGCCGGGGTCGCTACAGAGAGGCAGGCGGGCGGGCAATGGCAGACCACCTCTGAACGTCTCTGGCCTTGAAAAATGGACGGGAGGTATCACAAGCTGACTGCTCCCTGAGGGCCAAAAGAAAAATTAGGGTTGCCAGGTTCCTTCTGGCCACCAGCTGGGGAGAGGGGCAGTGTAGGGTTTCCAGATCCAGGTTGGGAAACTCTTGGGAGATTTGAGGCTGGGGGGACAGGGACCTCAGTGCCATAGAGTCCACCTTCAAAGCATCCATTTGCTGCAGGGGAAACTGATTTCTGTAGTCTGGGGATGAGCTGCAGTTCTGGGGGTCTCCCCAGGTCCCACCCGGAGGCTGCCATCCCTATCTTATAGTGTGGTGTGTTGGATTAGGGTCTTGGAGAGCCAGGTACAGATCCCTATAAAATTGCCAGGTGACAGTGGACCAGTCACTCACTTGTAGCTTACCGTGCCTCGCAGGGTTGATGTGAGGATAAAGTGGAGGAGTGGAGAGAGCTCCTTGGAGGAAGCATGGGGTAAAGAGGAACTAAATAAATAGCCCATGCAATGTACACAAGCAGCCATGCATACAATAGCAGTGGGGTTATGTCTGCTAGTGAGTCGGTGTGAGGTGGTGGTTGGCGTGTCGGACTAGGATTTGGGAGACACAGGTTTGAACCTGCACTTTGCTGTGGATATATGCTAGGTGACCTGGGCCAGTCGCTCAGCCTAATTGAGCTCAGAGGATTGTTGTGAGGGAGGTTGAAACCATGTTGTAATCAGTGCTCCTTCTAAGCTGTGGAGTCTTGTGAGCAAAAATTCAACTTTGTGAGCTACTGGCATTGAAGTTGTGGGCCAGCAATTTGGCTACTGCATGAATGAGTTTGCTCTGGAGCCATCCTTCCTGAGCTAAGACAAAAATGTGTGAGCCAGAGGCTAAAAAGCTGTGAACTAGCTCACACTAACTCAGCTTAGAGGGAACACTGGTTGTAAGCTGCTTTGAGACCCCATTGGGAAGAAAAGCAGCCTGTAAATATCCGGATAACGAATAGGATCTGTGTGTGAGAGAGCTGTATGTGTTGTACTGTTTGATTGCATATGAGCTCCTCCCTGCCACTATTCAGTGAAATGAACCTTGCTCACGTCTCCACTTGCAAAGCCAGTATGCAGTTGCTGTTCACAAATCATGACTGCATCCAATTGGATTACCCTGTGTGAATTATCTTTGTGAATACTTTAGTGCAGGGGTGTCAAACATGCGGCCTGGAGGCCAGATCAGGCCCCCGGAGGGCTTCTCTCAGGCCTGCAGTGGAACTGGCTGCCTTCTATTGCTTCTTCCAGTTTTGCTGCTGCTGCGTCATTGTAGGTTTGCAGTTTACAGATACGCACCTGAACAGCATACTCAGGATTACAACAGCACAGACATTTTGATGTAATAATTCAGAGCAAGAGGTGTCAGTTATCAGACACTGTTAAATAAAAAAAATACTGCAAGAGTGCTAATGTTTTAAGGATGTTTTTATTTTAAGTTAAAAAAACCCTTTGTGTTTGTTTCCTTTATAAAGTTTATATCTCTGCTACCTGGAATTACATTTTATGACCCACATAGCCCGGCCCAACAAGGTCTCATTTATGTCAGTTCGACACCCCTGCTCTAGTGGCTGTAGTGTATGTAGAAACTGTAGTATGTAGTGTATGTAGCAATTCAAATGTACATAGCAACTCAAAGATGCAGCCTATGTTTGTGTTTGTTTATATGCCAGCCTTTATTTATATGCTAGCCACACTCTCTCTGGCAAGCCTCAGAGAAGATACTCTCCATTCCAATGCTACTACTCTGCACTTAGATTGAGACCTAATCCTACCATGACGATTGTGCTGAGAGATAATTTTAAAATGTATCCACACACCATGGAATATTGTGCTATTGTTGTGCTGTAGCAGTGTTTCACCTCCTGGATTTCTTTCCAGATTGAAATTTTGTTCCCACTTCCTATTGAAATTTTTTAATCAGTATTTGAAAGAACCACCATTCCCATTTCTACTGTATTGGTCAGGGCTTCTTTTTTAAAAAAATGCAGGAACTGAAACAATTCACTATCTAATTATTTCCATTTTTTATTTAAATAGTTTGCAGTAAATATAATGCATGTTTAAACTCTTAGATGTCATCAGTGTCGAACATAGAGACACTAGATTGCGCCTCATGCACCACATGTCAACTGTTAATTAGGCTAGACTGTTTAGCATATTTTAATTCTTTTTTTTTAATTTAATGTTGTCATTGGAAGTGTTGCTCCCTGCCTTGTATATGGAGGAGGGTAGGTTATAAGTTGAAATAAATAACAGTGCCATTTTATACCTGGAATTCCAACCAAAAGCTATGACTTTGACAACATTTTATTGTGGAAATTCTTTTACTTTTTTATTACTCAGTTTAAAGCAATTTCATATAATATAGCTCAGTGGTGGAACATCTGTTTTGCATGCAGAAGGTCCCAGGTTCAATCCCCAACATCTCCAGGTGAAAGGATCAGATAATAGGTGATGCAAGAGACCTCTGCCTGAGACCCTGGAGAGCTGCTGTCAGTCAGAGTAGACAATACTGACCTGCCTTGGCTCAATGGTAAGGCAGCTCCTTGTGTTCATAAAAATACATGCCAATACCTCAATAGTAACTATGATTTTCCTCATTATTCCTCATTTCCTATTGTAACTCTCTCTCCCCCTTGTGCTTGTAGCAACCAATACTTTCTAAACAGCTTATTACAAGCTGATAAAACAGCTGGGAATTAATTCCTCATTTCAGAGGAGTAAGTTATAAGCCATAATTTTATATAATAAAGTCATTACAGATATAGGCTACAGTATTGTTCTGGTCTATCCTATTATAAGATTTTTGGAAAACTGCGGGCAAGTCATAGAAATTACATTTTCACAAATCTAGATGGGAAAGTTTTATTTGGATTTTTCATCAGGTTGCATCCCATACCTTCATTTCCCATTGAGCTTTAGATGACTCGGTGCTCTATTTTCATTGGCTAGCTAGGAAATTATATTTCACGGTAGTTGGCATATAATTAGTCTTTTAATGCAGGCAGCATTCCTTTTCCTCACTTACTAAATGCAGTAGTATTTGGAATAAAGGAAGGACAGGTGAAAACCTGCTAAATCCTGAATTTGTTGCATTAGTTCCAACCATCATGGTTGGATCTTGGGTCAATGAATCCAAATAGAGAGACTCGAACCTTGGTATGGATAATACTTCCACCGTAAATCATCATGATCCATTCACATGTAAAATAGATTTATTCACTTTCCCCTTATTATCTTTATTCCTTATCTTTATTCCTGTATTCTTCATTACTATTTTCGTGACAAAAGTGTGTTTGCATAATCTTTATCCAAATTGGAAAATCTTTTCAGTAAGCAGGTAATAACAGAAAAATAGTTTCTTTCTTTAAAACCCATTTCCTGTATGTGGCATATATTTTTAAATATTATAGAAATATTTTCTTTCTTGCTTTTTAAAGCTAGTAAATATAAGTAAATTCTGCACAGTACAGAATTTCTTGTCATCAGGAGTGAGCAGTGGGAGGAAGCATTTATTTTCTCACTTTATAGTCCGCCTTTTGCAATGATACTCAAGGAGAGTTAGTATATGTTTAATAATGCAATAGAAACAGTATAATAGTGTGATAAAAACTAGATTTACAGTATTAGAGAATGCACCAGAAAACTGTCTAGTGCATACAATAAAGTTGGATCACAAAAATGGACACGTATGTATGTATGTGTATATGTATGTATATGTATGTATGTGTGTGTGTATATATATATATGTATTAGAATGAACAATGTAATAAAGACTGCCTGGTAGTTCATGGGTTATAACCTTATTCTCTTTATAAAAGTGCCCTCCTGAGCAATACAGTTTTGCATATTCTGTGAAATAACAGAAGCTTGGGAGCCTTCCTGACCTTATCAGGCAAGCTGTTCAACCCTGTGAGAGCCACCACAGAGAATGCTCTGGTATGGGCAGCTGTTGACCTTACCCATTTGCAGGGTGGCATTTCCAGCAGGGTTTGCTCAGACGAGGGAAAGTTGCTTCAGCAATGTAGATCAGAGAAGGCCATTCTGCAGATATGCATGTCCAAGGCCATAAAGGCTTTGTGGGAGAAGACCTGTACCTTGAACTCTGAAACTAATTGGTTTCAGAATAGGTGTTTTGCAGTTTAAATCCGTGTATTTCCTATAAAAATATTTTCAGCTAGATATCAATGCATATCACTACTAAATTAGTGCAAAGCAAGTGTGTTTGTGGGGAAGAGAATCACAAAGATCACCCATCTTTGTGATTCTCTTCTATCTGTGGTTTCAGAACAGCATTGACATTTTATTTTTGCTTTGGTCCTTGGAAATCTTCATTCCAAGCCAAAAATGCACTAAAAAGGTGACAATGGTGTTGTTAACACTGATGTTTATATTAATTACAGGAAGTAATTTGGTTTCCTGGGACTTTCTGTGTAGGCTGTAGCCTTAATATGCATACTGAACACTGTGCAGTTGAAAAATAACAAGTTTGTATTAAAACAGCCTAATGTGTTCTGGCAGTCACTGTAATGTAATCAGTAGAAAAGCATGACTGTGTTTATCAGTTGGTTGGAGTGGCTGAATCGCCTGTTCTGTTTCCATTGTTTTTGAAGTGGTGCTTTTAGAAAGAGAGAACTTCAAACATGCTGTCGTTTCAGCCATAATAGATCTTTTAAACAAGTTAAATGGAAGACTAAATGAGAACATTGTGTTGTCTGATATATAAAAAGTGGGAATAACTGTAGGGTGTTTTATGTTGTCACACCAGATTT